CCTACAGGAATAATAAGGACAGCTTGAAAGGGCTGGCACCCTCTCAGTCACCCTCTCCAGAAGGAGAAAAAGCAGTGTTCAGGCATAGCAAGCACTTTCTAAGCTTGCTGCTACTATAGGGAGGTGGAGTGAAAGGTGTGTCTCAGAGATATGGCAACAAATGTGACTCTGAAACACACTGGTGTCATTTGAAGTGGTTTGCCCCTCACAAGTGGGAAAGATGTTTGACACCCCAGTCTCATCAGGCACAAAGCAAGAATGAATGAGATCTGGAGGGTGAAGAAAGCAGAGTCTGAAAGTCCCTTCCCATTCTCCAAGCCCCAGGGAAGACTCTAAGGAGGCTTCAGCCTTCAAAACCTGGAGATCCACACTGGCATGGTTTGTTGCAGTATAAATTCTGCTCCTACCAGTATATCAGCACAATGCTACCCTACTATTCACTCCTCTTTCCCACTTCATCACCTTTTTGTCCCCACCTAATCAGCCCTCTGCTTAACACCTTCCCACCGCAGGCAGAACCATGCTCATTTCCCACAGCCACAAACTAGTCCCACCAGTTCTGCCCTGTCTGTCCACTTCTCCTTTCTCCTTTGTGCCTCTCCACACCAGCCCTTCAGCTCAAACACAGACCTTTCGGACACAGGGATGGTCATTTTTCAGGATGCTTCCTTGTGAATGTTTGAACAGCCAGGGAACAAAGAACCAGATCTCCAGCAACCAGCTGGAAGCCTGTTCCATGAGGAGAGTAACTGTTAAGTTAGAAGCCATTAAAAGAATGAAGCAACGGGGTTGGCTGGAAGTGTGGCTTGATTTATGCAACCCTTTTTTGTTACAACAATAATGGTAATGATGATGGAGGACTGTACTGCATGAGGCTGCATGGCAAGGGGACCGGCTGAGAATGAAGCAGAAAAACAGCTGCACTGTGCTAGGGAATGTGGCTAAGTAGGTGTGAGTGTGCATCTGTACCAGCACGTGGGAAGCTCTGGGGCACTGAGGATGCAGGTGATTTTTGGTGCTGGGGATTATCGAGATGATGCCTTTTTCCTGATGGGTAATCCATTTGCGTACAGCTTGTCTGGGAACGGAACAGTGATCTAACTCACCTTGAAGCAGGGTGTAGAAGGCTCCTGATGCTGACAAATTGGTTGTTATTGTAACATCATCCTTGCTGGAGGTTTCCACCTGGACATGCACAGAGCTGTCGGTATCGCTGCGGAAGCTGCTCACTTGGCCAGTAGGGAAGGTCACATTGGTCAGGCGGCCAAAGCTGTCATACCTGAAAGGGAGGATGGACTGAAGTTAACAGCATCAACAGAGGAGTGGGAGACAGGAATCATCCTATAAAGCAGAGATCAAGTCCTCAAGTCTTCATCCAGAGAAAAATGTACTGTCACTCTGTCAGATTGTCTTAACTATTTTTTGGCTTCATGAGAAAAAAGTCAAAGCTTTTAGCTGAACAAAATGAAGCAAAGAACATAAAATTACTAAATACATATTAGCCTGTATTTTAACAATATTTTCCCAATACTTCTTACCTGTACTATGCAACTTGTTTACAAGAGTAACTTTATGTCCCATTCTTTGTGTCCTCAATTCTTCAGCAATTTATCTTCTTATTTTTTCCCCTATCTTATTTTGAAAGCTAAATGTTAAGGTAGCAGCAAGGACCTGCCAGATTGGCCACATCAGGTAGAGAACTGTCCTTTGTGAACATGATGTAGAGCCCTGAGCACATCTGAAACCCCCCACGTCTACCTTTTACTGTTCCTAGGACAACTGGAAGGACTGGTTTTGAGGTGTAAAAAAGCAGACCAGTTTTCACCCTACTGTGTCCTTGGCTTTTCCAGTGAGGCATTAATATAAGCACCATCTGGGAAGGTTTCTTCAATGTGGACACCCATGTACCAGAACCCAGATGAAATAAGCTCCATACATGCAGGTCCCACAGCAACTAACAAGCTGGAGGAGTATTTTTTTTGATAAAAAGACAAGCGACACTTGTGTCTAAAGGTGCCTTGAGTTGACAGAGCAAATACACCATCCTGCATCCCATTTGTGGCATTGTAAAAAGGGCATCTGTGCATCACAAAGATCAGAGGGTTGGCAAGAGACCTTTGCAATGTCTATTGCAGTCAGAAATGGAGAGCAGTTGGAAGCTCTACTGGCTTATCTCTGATGACATGAACCTTCAGGGAAGAGATATTTAAATAGTTAGGGAGAAACAGTAGAAAACTTCCAGGAAAACAATCAGTGATAAATAAGTGTTTGACATTTTTTCAAGTCCTGCTCACATCTCTTTTAGGAATGATTTATATGATATATAAGATCATCTTATGAAAACATATCACTTGGGGATGCAAAGTGAATGATGGGCTAGCAGAGAGGACTTGCTCTTCTGCACTACCCAAGTGGCGCACAGTGTCCAATGAAGGGCACCATTCCTCACAATGATAAAGTAATGTAAATGATACATTAAAGATAACAAGCTTAAAAAACATGACCAAAGAGGCAAAGTCAAAATAAAAGACTTAATTTAGAGGAGGATTATAATTAGTCGCTCATCATGTCTACTGAGGATGTGACAAGAAGTAATCAGTTTGAATGGAAACAAGGAAGATTCAGGTTAGAAGCTGTAGGAGATTTTTGAGGCCCATGGTTGCTTCAAGCAGGGGAATAGATGGAGTGCTGGAAACCTCACTGCCCAATGCTTTCAGGAATAGGTGAGAGATGTGTTAGAGAGGATCTGGATACAGATGATCAGTCCTTGGAGGAAGCAGCTGGTTGAGGAACTCTTTATGCCCCTCTTTCAGGATTACACTGAGCTGGGGAATAAGACAATAGACCCCATCTAATAATCATAAAGAGAAACCTAACAAAAAAGAAAGAGAGAAGAGAGAAAAGAGAAGAGAAAACAGAAAAAACCCCAGAAAAAACAGAAAAGAAGAAAAAAAAGGGAAAAAAAACAGGGACAGGAAAGGCGGAAAGGAAAGGAAAGGAAAGGAAAGGAAAGGAAAGGAAAGGAAAGGAAAGGAAAGGAAAGGAAAGGAAAGGAAAGGAAAGGAAAGGAAAGGAAAGGAAAGGAAAGGAAAGGAAAGGAAAGGAAAGGAAAGGAAAGGAAAGGAAAGGAAAGGAAAGGAAAGGAAAGGAAAGGAAAGGAAAGGAAAGGAAAGGAAAGGAAAGGAAAGGAAAGGAAAGGAAAGGAAAGGAAAGGAAAGGAAAGGAAAGGAAAGGAAAGGAAAGGAAAGGAAAGGAAAGGAAAGGAAAGGAAAGGAAAGGAAAGGAAAGGAAAGGAAAGGAAAGGAAAGGAAAGGAAAGGAAAGGAAAGGAAAGGAAAGGAAAGGAAAGGAAAGGAAAGGAAAGGAAAGGAAAGGACTCTTTAACTGCCACCCATGAGAGATCCATGAGCAGTCATTGGACTGGCTCTGCGCTATACAGAAACAGAAATTTGTGTCCTCTTCCATTCTCTTTTTTTCCATACTTGTACACAGTGCTGTTACTTCGCTTCTGACAATATGCTGGCAGTGATTTAGTGTGAGGAAGGGCTGGTAGAAAAGGTGATTTTTGTCCAAGATTAATATTTAGTGTATAGTTTTAACGTGGGTGACCTCATTGTGCTCCAGCCCTCAGGTTTGGAGACATCAGCACATGAGGGTTTTCTTGCCCACAGAACAGAAGGGGAGTTGGTAAGGTAGAAAGAAGCATTTAACCCTCTACGGTATCAGTGTCAGTCATGGGATTATCCAAGCATGGGGGACAGTCTTGCCCTTTCCCTCCAAGATCCTGGCAATCAATCAGCCATTTGTGAAATGGAAAAGAAAGAAGAAAAAAAAATTAAACAAGAAAGGTATGAAAGCAGGACTGCATTGCAGGAGTTCGGCATAGATAAGTTAAAGCTTTTCCAAGCAGCTAGCAGCACACAGCCTGGATCTGAACTGCATCTCCTTGCAAGAGCCAAAACTAAAGTGCTTCTAGTACTAAACAGTTTACTCCAGGTTTGTGGCTGCCTTGTTTGCACTGAGATGCATGTGTTTTGCTTGCACTGTCTCCAGTCATCTGCACATGTCCTCCTAAACCAGCATGTGAATCTTAAACAGAAAACATCACAGGCAATATCTTTACCCCATCTGCTGAGACAGGACACAAGGGACGTGATTTAGTCTCTCCCGTGAGCAGAGAAAACACTGTTATTACTGAAGATGTGTTGTGTAACACCCCAAATTCCTTCCACCACAACATAAATAATCCTATATATAAGCCAGTCTGAACAGTAAAGGTAGACTCAAGACTGCAAATGCTCCGAAATTTCAGTAAGATGAATCTGAATTTGACACCTCTGACTTGGTGGTATTAGCAACTCTGAGGGCTTTACCTCTATTGGTTCATTTAGATTTTAAAAAATGAGCTGCTCCTGAAATGAAGCCTGATTTATCTCGTTAAAATAATGTCACAGACCTGGCTGTGTCTTCATACAGGTGTGAAAGGAAGCATGTCTGCAGGTTAGGTACATAAGGGGCAGAGAGCTTTTTCATGTGATAAGTGCTGAGTCAAAGTCCTGTGAGTCATAAGTTTTATCCTAATGGAATGACACTCAGCAAAATGCCATGAGTCAGCACAAACCCTATACTCTATGCAAACTCTACTTATGTGCTCCAATGAAAGACTCAAAAAACTGTGGATACTCAGTTTAACATCCCAAAGCAGCAGCAGACACCCAGCTCCTTAAACTCTGTTATTGAATCACAGAATCACAGAATGGTTTGGGTTGGAAGGACCTTAAAGATCATCCAGTTCCACCCCTCCTGCCATGGGCAGGGACACCTTCCACTAGACCAGGTTGCTCAGAGCCCCATCCAACCTGGGCTTGAACACTTCCAGGGGTGGGGCCTCTACAACTTCTCTGGGCAACCTGTGCCAGTACCTCACCACTCTCACAGCAGAGAATTTCTTCCTAATATCTAATCTAAACATACTGTCATTTGCCCTTGTCCTATCACTACACGCCCTTATTAAAAGGCATGTAGTGCTTTTTTATATAATATTATGTAGTGCAAAATAAAAACTATTTTATATAGTATTTATGTAGTGCCTTTAAAATAATATTCCTGGACCTCAAGCTCCCAGCACCCTCACAATTGGTCCTCCAGATCTGCAGGGCAAATATGTAATATGTGAAAATATGCAACTGGAAAAATCTTTCAGTAACCTCTGCTTGTGCAAATTAGGTTAAAAT